ACCAGCCATTCCGTGGAAAGAAGATGGGACAATCTACTTCCATAAAGATTTACTACCTTGGAAACTCAATGGAGGTAGAACAGACTCACTGGCAGTGAGTTGGGTTTGTTTGGTTTTTTAATATATATACACATATATATGTGTGTGTATATATACATTATATGCATATACATGTGTGTGTGTGTAAAAGCTTTGGTGGCATACTGCCTAAGGAATTTGACTGTTAACCAGAAGGCTGGTGGTCCAAACCCACCAGCTTCTCTTTGGAAGGAAGGTTGGGCAATCTACTCCCATAGTGATACCACCTCAGAAACCCAAGGAAGGGTCACTATGAGTCAGATCTGGCTCTATGGCAGTGAGTTTGGTTTTTGGTTTATATATAATTTTTTTTTGTGTGTGTATGTGTATGCATGTGTGTGTGTATATATGGATGTATATAAAAATTACACACCTTTTGAAAGATTTCACAGCCACCAAAAAGAAAATCTTGATTTTCTACTTTAAAAGATGTTTTATGTTAGTTTACTCATACAGTTCTTTTAGGGGGCTTTGACTTTCCCCAGAAATGTTGAAAATGAGATATGGTCCTTTTCAGAACCGAATAATCTTGTAATACTTTGATCATTGTGCCTTATAGGAATTGAAAAGAATGCATTAAGGAAAATGATCCAACCTACAGACACAAATTATTTAAACAAAAGCTCTATGGGAACCATGGTACACTGTAATTAGAATAGGAATGAAATGTTGGAATGAGCATTGTTTTGATATATGTTATTAGTATTTGGAGAGCAGCAGCCAGGGATCCAGGTAAGGGGAAGGACCCAGGCCCCACCCCACCAAGCAGGAAAGCAAGACAAGTGAATCCAGAGGGGACAACAGAGCAGAGCAGCAGCCTGGGATCCAGGTAAGGGAAGGGACCCAGGCTGCACTCCTACTAGGCAGGAAAAGTGGGGGAAAGTGAAGTCAGAGGGGACAACAGAGCAGAGCAGTGCCAGGCATCCAGGTAAGGGGAGGGAGGAGAGATTTCAAACAGTTAAGGGAGACAAACTTGACTGTCATTTTGTTGTACTATTTTGGCCAGCATGTTGCTGTGAAGCTGTGCCACTGGTGTTTCAAGTGCCAGCAGGGTTGCACATGGCACACAGGTTTCATTGCAGTTTACAGACTGAGACAGACTAGGAAGAAGGAAGATGCCATCCACTTCTCAAAGAATTGGCCAGGGAAAACCTTATGAATAGCAGAGAAACACTATCTGATACATTACTGAGCAAATGTATGAATAGTTGGGAAACACTATCAGATACAGTGCAGGAGTACAAGCCCTCAGGTCAGAAGGCTTTCAAAATACAACTAGGAAAGAGCTGCATCATTAGTGTAGAACCGACCTTACTGATATGGATAATGCAAAGCTTCTGGGAATCCATTTGCTGACATGTCACAACTCAAATTGAGGAGAAACAGCTGCAAACATCCTTTGAAAATCAAAACATGCAATGTACAAAGCATGAATCTAGGAAAATTGGAAGTTGTTGAAAATGAAATGGAATGCATAAAGATTGATATCCTAGGCACTGGTGAGCTGAAATGGACCACTTTTGGACATTTTAAATCAGATGACCATACAATCTACTATGCCGGGAATGACAATTTGAAGAGGAATGGTGTGGCATTCATCATCACAAAGGATGTTTCAAGATCTTTCCTGAAGTACAGTCCTGTCAATGATAGGATAATATCCATACACCCACAAGGAAGACCAGTTAATATGACTATTATTCAAATTTATGCATCAACCACCAAAGCCAAAGATGAGGAAATTGAAGATTTTTATTAACTTCTGCAGTTGGAAATTGACTGAACATGCATTCAAGGTGTGTTAATTCTCACTGGTGACTGGAATACAGAAGTTGGAAACAAAGAAGAATCACCAATAATTGGAAAATATGGCCTTGGTGACAGAAATAATGCTGGAGATTGCATGACAGAATCTTGCAAGACCAATGACATATATTGCAAATACCTTTATTCAACAACACAAATGGTGGCTATACATGAGGACTTCACCAAATGGAGTACACAGGAGTAAGATTGACTACATCTGTGGCAAGAGGCAATGGCAAAGCTCAACATCTTCAGCCAAAACAAGACCAGGAGCTGATTGTGGAACAGACCATCAACTGCTCATATGCAATTTTAAGGTGAAGTTGCAGACAGTTAAAACAAGTCCACAAGAGCCAAAATATGATTTTGAATATATCCCTCCTGAATTTAGGGACCATCTAAAGAATAGATTTGATGCATTGAACACTAATGACTGAAAACAAGAAGAATTGTGGGATGACATCAAGAACATTATCCATGAAGAAAGCAAGAGGTCACTAAAAATTTGAAAAAGACCAAAATGGATGGCAGAAGAGACTCTGAAACTTGCCCTTGAATGGACAGTAGCTAAAGCAAATGGAAGAAATGATAAGATAAAAGAGCTGAACAGAAGATTTCAAAGAGCAGCTCAAGTAGACAAAGCCAATTACTATAATGAAATGTGCAAAGACCTGGAGTTAGAAGACCAAAAGGGAAGAACATGCTTGGCATTTCTCAAGCTGAAAGAACTGAGGAAAAAAAATTAAGCCTCAAATTGCAATATGAAAGATTCTACGTGCAAAATATTGAATCATTAGGAAGCATCAAAAGAAGATGGAAGGAATACATAGAGTCACAGTACCAAAAAGAACTGGTTGATGTTCATCCATTTCAGTAAGTGGCATATGATCAAGAACCAATGGTATTGAAGGAAGAAGTCGAAGCTGCACTGAAGGAACTGGCATAGAACAAGGGTCCAGGAAGTGATGGAATACACATTGAGATGTTTCAACAAATGGATGCCCCACTGGAGGCACTCACTTAACTATGCCAAGATATTTGGAAGATAGCTACCTGGCCAACTGACTGGAAGAGATCCATTTTTGTACCTATTCCAAAGAAAGGTGATCCTACAGAATGTGGAAATTATCGAACAATATAATTAAGATTGCATGAGAGTAAAATCTTACTGAAGATAATTCAAAAACGGTTGCAGCAGTATATTGACAGAGAACTTCTAGAAATGCAAGCTGGATTCAGAAGAGGATGTGGAACAAGGGACATTATTGCTGAAGTCAGATGGATCTTGGCTCAAGGCAAAGATACCAGAAAGATGTTTACTTGTGTTTTATTGACTATGCAAAAACATTTCATTGTGTGGATCATAACAAATTGTGGATAACACTGAGAAGAATGGGAGTTCCAGAACATTTAATTGTACTCATGAGGAATCTGTACATAGACCAGGCAGTTGTTCAAATAGAACAAGGGGACACTGCATCATTTAAAAGCAAGAAGGGAGTGTGTCAGGGTTGTATCCTTTCACCATACTTATCCAATCGATATGCTGGGCAAATAATCTGAGAAGCTAGACTATATGAAGAAGAATGTGGCATCAGGATTGGAGGAAGAATCATTAACAATCTGCGATATGCTGACGACACAACTTTGCTTGCTGAAAGTGAGGATGACTTGAACACTTAACTGCTGAAGATAAAGAATACAGTCTGAAGAATGGATTACATCTTAATATAAAGAAAACAAAAATTCTCAGAACTGGACCTGTAAGCAGCATCACGATAAATGGAAAAAAGACGGAAGTTGTCAAAGACTTCACAGTGCTTGGTTCTATAATCGACGCCAGTGGAAGCAGCAGTCAGGACATCAGATGACATACAGCACTGGGCAAGTCTGATGCAAAGGACCTCTTTCAAGTGCCAAGAAGCAAAGATGTTTCCTTGAGGACTAAGGTGCGCCTGACACAAGTTGTGATATTTTCAATTGCCTCATATGCATGTGAGAGCTGGGCAATGAATAAGGAAGACCAAAGAAGAATCGATGCTTTTGAGATGTGGTGCCGGTGAAGAATGTTGAAAATACCATGGACTGCTAAAATAACTAACAAATCTGTCCTGGAGGAAGTGCAGCTGGAATACTCCTTGGAAGCGAGAATGGCCAGACTTCGTCTCTCCTACTTTGGTCATGTTGTCAGAAGGGACCATTCACTGGAGAAGGATGTCATGCTTGGTAAGGTGGAGGGTCAATGAAAGAAGGAAGGCCTTCAACGAGATGGATTGACACAGTGGCTGTGAAGATGGGGTCAAGTATAGCAGGGATCATGGAGCTCTTGAGGGCCAGGCAGTGTTTTGTTCTGCTCTGTGTAGGGTCACAATGAGTCAGAGAGGACTGGAGGGCACCTAACGACAACCTTAGCATTTGAATGAGCCTCATCAATCCTTTTGAAACAGCAAATTGGAGTACTGAATTATAACAATATACTTTTTGTCTTTTCCTTAAACATGATTTTATTTTCTGTGACATGATATTCACATTTCTTTCTTCAGGAAATTCATTCTGTAAGGAAAGAAAGAAAAAACAAGGGTTACATACCTTGCAAGGGTTTTAGTGGAGCATGGCAGCTTCTGTCGGGCTATGGATGCAAGCTTTGGGCGTATCAGAGGCAGTGCGGGCAGGGTAGTCATTTTGGACTACAAAAAATGAGAAACAACATTTTTAAAAAATAAACCTAAACCTTTGAAAGAATCCTTTAAGACATTATTAAGATTCACAACTTATCAAATGAGCTAAGGATCCTCTACATATAGAACTATACTATAACTCTGTTATTCAGGAAGGATATGCAGTGAGTGGATTCTGCAGGTGACTTCTCTGATTATTTCTTCCACAGTTTGCTTTTTGGCCAATTTATTACTTATGTGTCTTCACCACGAAGTGGATAAAGAGAAAACCTGATAAATGAATTCAAGATTCAGACCATCAGCAGCTTTAGTAAGAATTTTGTTAAGGAGCATCGCTGCAATTAAAGAGTCAAGAATGTTGGAATACCTCTCAATTTCAAATGTTTGTGCTTTGCTTTCTTGTTACAACCAAGAATTTAAAATTGTTCATGCTTTGCTTTTCTCTAAAAATTTTATCACTCACAAATACTTTCCCTTAGAAGTCATAGACTCAAAGAACAGTTCTCAAGGAGACAACTGCCCTGAGAGAGTACACAGCTACAATAGTGTAACAAAGTACTTCAAAATGCAGTGGCTTTTAAAAAAAAATTGTTTAAAATAAGGATCACTTTATCTCTCACCATCAATATGGATCAAGAATTAGGACTGGGAATGGGAATGACTTTTCACTGTTCCACAATGATCTAGACTTCTGCTGGGAAGACTCAGAAGTTACAGAAAAGAACCAAAAGCTGGGGGTAACTCAGTGGTGGGGGGCAGGAATCATCTGAGGCATCTTCATTCATACATGTGGTGTCTGATTCTGACTCTTAGCTGGGGCTTCAGCTGAAGCTGTCTGGAAACACATACATATGACCTTACATGACCTGGGTTTCCTCCAACCATGGCAGCTTCAGACTTGTTTTGTGGGAAGGCAACTATCTCAAAGAAAAGCTAGTTGGAAGTTGTACCCTTTTTTAGGGCCTAGCCTCAAAAGTTACACAGTGCCACTTCTGCTTTAGTAACAGGCCTGCCTACTTACTGATGTCAAAGTCACATTGTAAGAGGACAATGTAGGAAGGAAGATACTGTTGTGGCCTTCTTTGGAAAAACAGAGTCTGCAACAGAGGGAGAAACTAAGCAAGAAATAATATAAGTGTACCTACAAAGTCAAGTTATCTAAATGTTATTCCAAAGAAGTGTGCATATAATTTCTATGGACTTTAAATAGAAAAAGTGTCCCACGTTGCTAGGGTTCTTAGATGCAAAAGAACTCATATTTGTACTGCTAAATGGAGAGGCACCCATAAGACTAAGTCTTTCCAATTTCACAGCCACTATTCCCACCACCTTTGACCTCTGTCTTAGCCTCACCAGCAGCTGGAAGGCTTCTTTCAGGTTTCAAATCCCTTCCCTTCAGCACTTACTACTTGTGTAACCTAAGATAAATCACAATCAATCTGGGCCTTCAATATATTCAACAAGTATTTATTGTGCTACTACGTGGTATCAGGCATTTTTCTAGGTGCTAGAGATAGAGCAGTGAATAAAAAGACAAAATTCTTTGAATTAATGGAATTTATATTTGAGGAATGGATGTGGGAAAAACAGACAACACATAAGCAAAATATAAATAAAGCAGAGAACTGTAAACTACCCAGTTGCTCACCAGAGCAAAAGTAATAAGTGCAGAAGTAGATGAGGTCGAGGAAATTAAAGAGAAATTCAGTGGTGTAGAGCTTTGCAGGTTACTATAAAAATGGTGGGTTTTGCTCAAAAAGGTCATTCTGGTTTCTCTTTTGAGATTAGAGTGTAGGAGGAAGAAGGACAGACCACTCAGAAGCCACCTGGGAGGCTACTGTGAAATCTGGATGAGAGATAATGGTGGTTTAAGTAGAGACTGAGGTGGAGAGAGATAGTCTGACACAAGATAGAACATGACACTATATCCCCTAGTGCTACAAAGCTGAGCAAAAGAGAAGAGAAGAGAGGTGAGGGGAGGAAAGATTTGAAGGAAAATCTTGAAATTCACTGTAGAAATGGGCAGTCTTATGTTTATGAAAAGTATTCTTTTTTAATATTTTATTGTGATTTTTGGGCAAATTTACAAAGCAAATTCATTTTACACTCAACAGTTCATACATATTTTGTTTCATGGCACCAATTACAATCCCCACAATGGACTAGCTCTCCTCTTTCCTCTGCCTTGTGGTTACCCCTTCCTGTGTCCTTCTTACCTATGCATTCTAGCTTTCCCCTTATGCAAATGCTGCCCTTCTGATCTCTCCCTGGGGTAGGTGTTCAACTAACCAACAGGAATGAATCCAGTTCCAGGCCAAATGGTAACCACAGGGCCATAGTCTTAGAGGTTTTACCAGTCTCTACCTAACCAGTAATACTGGTCAGTTTTGGATTTTTGAATGAAAAATATTCTTTTGTAGATTGCCCAAACTTCCTTCTGAGTGGCCGGTCAGTTTGAACAACCAGTCTTCTGGTTAGCAGTGAAATGCCCTAGACACTATGCTACCAGAGCTCCCTTATAATGTTTTATATAATTAGGAGCTCTGGTGATGTAGTGGATAAAGCATCTGGCTGCTAACCAGAAGATCAGCAGTTCAAATCCCCCAGCTGCTCTGCAGAGGCAGAGGAAGATAGGCTGAAAGACAAAATTCTGATGCAGATAAGTTTTATCTTGGGTATTATAAAACCAATTGTCATGGAGTCGATTCCAACTCCTGGAAATCTCATGTCTATGAGAGTAGAACTGTGCTCCTTAGAGTTTTCAGTAGCTAATTTTTTAGAAGTAGACCATAAAGATTTTCTTTGAGGTGCTTCTAGGTTGACTCAATCCACCAAACATTCAGTTAACAGTCAAGCACATTAAATTCTTGCATCATTGAGGGATTCTTTTAGATATTGCAAAAAAGACAAGGAGGTCACATGTTCTGACCTTCCCTAACCCCACAAGAGGAAGACAGAATCACCATAAATAGCCCAAGGCCTATTACTGCAAGGCCAGACATGCTGCCTCCCTCTAGCCCTTTCACCAACCATTCCTCCCAAAGCACCCACCACCTCTCTCCTGGGTTCGATAATTCACTACAGTGGCCACACAGAACTCACAGATTATGGAGTTTATTAGGGAAGCACCAGGCTACAATTCAAGTTCAGGAAAAATGCTCCGTCTCTCTCCCAGCCTACAGTCTCTCCTAACAGTTTCTCACAGTCTCTCTCCCAACAGTGAGTGTCCCTCGGTGTCTCACTCAGCAATGCGTGTCTCTTGCATCTCTTTCCCAGCAGCACATGTCTCTTTCAGCAGCACGTCTTCCTCAACCAGCAGTCAGAAAGAGACCTCTTCTGCCTCTAGGAGGCCTCCTTTTGAGCCTGGCAGAGTGGCCAAACTAACCAATCATAACATCAGAATTCTAAGCTCCTGAGAGCAGGAACCTCTTGGAACATTGCTTTGTGTTGTGACCAACAGAAATACCCCAGGTGGATAATTTTTACTATCAGGAGCTTCTCAGTTGCTCACAGCAATTTCCACCAGAGTTTACAAAGACTTTGGGCTAGAAAAGCCACACTAGGTAATTTACTACACCGCACTTATAATGCTGTTGTTGTGTGCTTATAAGTCTATTCTGACTCATAGGAACCTGATAGGATGGAGTAGAAAAGCCCCCTGTTGTTTCCAAGACTGTAATCTTCATGGGAGTAGATAATCACATCTTTCTCCTAAAGCCAGTGGTTGGTTTGAAACACTGACCCTCTGGTTAGCAGCTGAGCTGCTTGACCCTGTTCCAGGGCTCCTTTTAATGTTGTTATTTTGTTAGGTGCCATCAAGTTGGATCTGACTCATAGTGACCTTATGTACAATAGAATGAAACACTGCCCAGTCCTGCACTATTCTCAAAATAATTGTTATGTGTGAGCCATCATTGCAGCCACTGTGTCAATCCATCTCATTGAGGATCTTCCAGTTTTTCACTAATCCTTTAACTTTACCAAGCAAGATATCCTTCTCAAAGGACTGGTCTCTCCTAATAACATGTAGCTACTATGTTAATCCATCTCATTGATGGTCTTCCTCCTTTTTGCTATATCAAGCATGATATCCCTCTCCAGGGACTGGTCCCTTGTAACAACATGACCAAAGTATGAGAGCCCAAGTCTGGACATTCTCACTTCCAAGGAGCATTCTGGCTGTACTTTCTCCAAGACAGATCTGTTTGTTCTTCTAGCAGTCCATGGTACATTCAATGTTCTTCACCAATAACACAATTCAAATGCATCAGTTATTTTGCGGATTTCTTTATTCATTGCCCAGCTCTCACCTGCATACAAGGCTACTGAAAAGACAATGACTTGGGTCAGGTGCACCTTAGTCTTTAAAATGGTATCTTTGCTCTTCAGCACTTTAAAGAGGTCATTTGCAGCAGACTTGCCCAATGCAATATGTCATTTGATTTCTTGACTGCTTCTTCCATTGCAATGATTGTGGCTCCAAGTAAAATGAAATCCCTGAAAACTTCAATAGTTTTCCCATTTATCATGATATCTCTTATTGGTCTAACTGTAAGGATTTTGGTTTTCTTTTTGTTGAGTTATAAGAACTCTGGTGGTGTAGGGGATAAGGCATTTGGCTGCTAACCAGGTCAGTGGTTCAAACCTACCAGCTGCTCCATGGGAGGAAGAATGAGGCAATCTATATCTGTAAGGATTTACAACCTTAGAAACCCAATGGGAGTCACTATGAGTTAAAAGTGACTCAATGACAGTAGGCTTGGTTTTGTAGGTATGTTGAGGTGTAATCCCTACCAAAGGCTGCAGTCTTTTATCTTCATCAGGAAGTGTTTTGAAGTCTTCATTACTTTCAGCAAGCAAGGTTGTGTCATCTGCGTATCACAGGTTTTTAATGAGTCTTCCTCCAATCCTACTGCCACATTCTTCTTCATATAGTCCAGCTTCTTGGGTTATTTGCTAAGCATACAGATTGAGTTAAATATGGAGAAAAGATACAAACCTGA